TCAACCCACACTTATCTGAACACTGTAACCAAGTCTTGAGCAAGGGTCATTTTATTTTCAGTAGCAGCCCGCAGACTCACAATCCCTTATTGTCCCAACAGGCAAGGCAGCCAGTGGGTGAGAGGGAGGCAGAGACTTATGCAAGGTTGCACAGTGGCTTGGTGGACAGAAATAGAATACTGATCCCTTGAGTGAAGTCCTAGACCCATGCCCTATGCACTAGAAAGGAACTAACCACAATTTCCCAAAAGCTGGACAGGGATTTGAGCAATAATAAAATATACAGCTTCACCTTTCACCTGAATGAGTGAGTCAAAACTTGCATGAAGAGGCTGGTGAGGGATTTTGAGGGGTGACAGAATCAGAACATGGTTGTTTTACTAAAATATTTTGGGCCTTAATATGTTTATTTATTTGTTAAAATTTCAATACCTTTTTTCTTGACTCAAGGCAACTTACAACTTACAAAATTAAAACATTACAAATATAAAGGAACTCTGTTATGTTACAGGAAATGCTCAGGAGGATATCAATCTAAAAAAACTGGAACCACAAAGTCAAGCAAAATAAGTGTAGTATAATGGATGGTGTGTTAGGTTTGGATTGAAGAAACGGGTTTAGATCTCCTGTTCACCCATGAAATCCAGAGGCCCCTGGAGTATTGGAAAAAATACTGTTAGTCTTTAAGAAGCCACTGAACTTTTATTTTGCTACATAGGATTATCAACTCCCTAGAGGAAAAAAAAATATGCTGTCCCTTTAATAGAGATATAATTGGATATTATTTACCAGGTGATGTTATTTAACTCCCTGCCAGGGCTATTTTTGGGCAGGAGGCCACTTACAAGCAATTAAAACATTACAAACATAAAGGAATTATGTTATGTTACAGGAAATACTCAGGAGGATATCAATCTAAAAAAAACTGGAACCACAAAGTCAAGCAAAATAAGTGTAGTATAATAGATGGTGTGTTAGGTTTGGATTGAAGAAATGGGTTTAGATCTGCTGTTCACCCATGAAATCCAGAGGCCCCTGGAGTATTGGAAAAAATACTGTTAGTCTTTAAGAAGCCACCGAACTTTTATTTTGCTACATAGGATTATCAACTCCCTGGAGGAAAAAAAATGCTGTCCCTTTAATAGAGGCTTAATTGGATATTATTTACAAGGTGATGTTATTTAACTCCCTGCCATGAAAAGCTGCCTATTTCCATAAATTATGCCTCTGCTTAAAGGGACATAATATTTTCCTCCAAGCTTGCTGGCAACCCAAACAACCACCCCTCTGCAATAATCACCCCGTCAGCCTAAGCTACTCACATGGTTGAGGGTGATCACCCTGAGCTCCTTGGAGTTAGTGGAGACAGGCTAAAAGCTGCCCAAAGTCTCTTGACAGGGCAGAGATGTGTGAAAGAATATGTCAGGTCAGAGAAAGTGGTGGGTACCTATAGAGCAAACAGGCTTCTGGAGCTAAATCATGGATTGGATGTTCAAAGCAACAGTTCCTTCTACTGTGGCAAGTTAACCACCAACCACAGGACGAAAGGCTGGGATATGTTGAAACTGAAATATCTTTCCTGTGATATTCAGTATATCTGAGATAAAATGCAACTATTTGGGAAGCAACGATACCCTGCCATAAAGGCAAACCTTCAGAACAAACTGCCATCTGGCCAACAGGCCATTATTTTCAGAAAGGCAGGCAATAATCTAATCAAAAGGTCTAACAACGACTTTTGGAAAGGTATACAAAGGCCCTGGTCACATGGACCGGATAATGCAGAGGGGAGGTGTGGCTATTTGTGGTGCCGCAATTTAACGCGCTAGAACGTGATCCCATGCGAAGGCGGCATGCCACGGTTCCTTCCCTCCGGGTCAACAAGGGGCCGGAGGGAAAAGCGGCCCACCAGCGCGATCACACCGAGGGAGTCCAGAGGCAGCCCATGGCAAACCAGTTGCTACTACCTTCCACCAGGTACTTTTTAACTCCGCATTTTTGGCGGTACGCCATGGGTGCACTCCACTTGCCAGATGTTGTGGTGTGATCGCGCCCGGAAACTCCGCCATTCACTTGTGGCTCTCCCGCAGCAAATTCGCCCTGTGGGGCCAAAGTTTTGCTTTCTTGCCCCTGCCTTCTGAGCTGACTTGGGGTTCTCCATTTGTCACCTGCATTTTGTTCCCTTGCACTCTTAAGCTTCCAATAAAAAAGGCAAATTGAACCGCACAATCAACAGAGTTAAACAATGGGCGCATAATATGCCCAGTAACCCATTAAACCGACTGAGGAGTGATCTGAAAGCCCTTCAGCACAAGGGCAGTCTTGAGGGAATGAGTGAAGGTCACCCTACACCGCCGCGGCACTGTCACACACGTCTCCAAGTACACAAAAGGCATTGCTGGGCCTCAAGCAGGACCTGGCCTCCTACAAACATCTCCCCCCCGCTCCGCGCCGCCTTTGCAAAGCGCCGCCCGACTGCCCCAAACTGGAGGCTGCCAGCACGTTTGCTACGTGACTCTCGAACATACCCCGGCCCCCCCTCCCCGATGAATGGGAATGATTGATTGAAGCCTGTGTGCTGGTGCACGCGTCCCCCTCACCCCCTCCTCCTCGAGTCACGGGAGTAAGGGACGACCCCCGCCAGCTCCAAAGGCGAAGGAGGGTCTAGCCGCTGACCAATGGGCTGTGCGCTGGCGGCGTGCTCGGCGCATGGGCAGCCTCGCTGGCCCCTCGCCTGCGGGGACAATCTCCAAGACGCTTTGTCGAACCGGGGGCGGGGCCTCGCGCAAGCATGTGAATAAAGGGCGAAGAGCCGTCTGGCAGTAAAAGCACAGCTTGGAAGCTGAGAGCCTCTTTGTGGATGGGGGGAAAGTCGAAAAAACTTCCACAAGCCGGAGAAAGCCGACTGGTTGCTGAAAAGTCCTGAGCGCCGCAGACGATTGCTCTCTGGTAAGTACTGCAAGAGCGGGAGGCGAAGCTGTTGGATTAAATTTTGAAGCACGTCTTTAATGCGGCACGAGGGTTTGTTCCATTCTGCCCTTGACGTTTCCCAAGCACAACGATCTTGCATTTCAGGTCTCTTTTGGAGAAAGATTTGCCGGTCTTGCTGTGTTGGGGAATAATTTGGCTGGGGTTGATGATGATGATGATGATGATGATGATGATGAATTGGCGCTGTCGCACCATATGTGTGCTAATAAAATGTGTGCAATAATGTATTATTGGGCCACTTGAGAACATATGTATGAGGTCCCATATGGTAATACTCTGTGAGAACTATGGGCTGTTGTTAGGACTAAAAAAAGTTTGAATCCGGCCTCTGATCACTGACCCTTTTCTCCTCTGTTTTTTGTTCCCTAGGTTTTTTGACTTCGGTCTGACTACAGCTAAACCATGGAGACCATGCAGGAACTGATCCCCTTTGCCAAAGAGATGCTGAGCCAGAAGCCAAATCGGAAGATGGTCAAAATGTACATGCTGGGAAGCATGCTGGCTTTTGTCGGGGTGGTTATTGGCCTGGTGGAGAGCGTCTGCAGCCCTTTCACCTCTGAGGGGAAGCTGGAGGACGAGGAGGTAGAGGAAGAGGAAAAGAAGGGATCTGCTTCCCTGGCCCAAGAGGCAGTTGTTCTCCCACAACAGGAGGAAGTAGTCTTGGAAAAGAGCAAGCAGGCTCTGGCCCTGAGGAATTCGGTGAACAGGCAGCGTGCATCGTAAGACCATCCAAAGAAATCCTAAAGACTGTCTGAGTGAGTGAGGACTTGTGACCTGCAGAATGCCAACACGAGCTCACCTGCTTTGTACAGAAGCCAGGAGATTAGAACGCAGTCCTGTATCTGTAGGAGAAACTGCACACTTAAATGGACTCTGAACAAGACTCTTTATTTTGCTGCTGTGCAGCAGTCGGACACAGCCTTTGAAATCTATGTACCTGTTCTGTTGGTATGAATATGTGAAGCTTGTAGCATCTTGTACTTCCCCGTATGGGGTTATTTTTTATTATGATTTTACATGCATTTTACACTACATTTTAAATAAAATATTTTTTACCTAGTGGAGTTGTGCATGTTGCATGGGGAATTGCTGGCAGCGTGGGGGAGGAAGGAATCTCTTGCCAAGAGCATTTTAAAACAGTTGGGTTGGAGGGTGGGGGAGTCTGAAAATGGCTACAAAGGAGCTAATCCTAAATACAAATCAAGTCAGAGAAGTCAATCAAGATTAAATTCCATTGGACTCTTGCATTCAGTAGAGTTCTCTGGCCCCCTAGATTTCAAGGTGACTTAGTTTGGACTAATTTTTGTACCAGTATATGGAAGTCTCACTTATTTTACCGGGTCTTTAATATCAGGAAATGTGTTGCAGCACAGCCAAATATTTATTGCTGCAAAATATACAGCTGGTTTCAGTTGTAATGGTTCTGGTTTCAGTGGCACATAATTAAAGTAGGCCTTGGAATGGGTATTGGGATGTATACTCCTGAACACACATTTGGAGATAGTCTTATTTCCAAATGAGTGTTAATTCAGGCAGTTAGGCAGTCTTAATTTGGAAGCTGTCTAAATTAACACTCATTTAGAGATAGTTTCAAAATGCAGGCTGCCTAACTGAATTAACAAGTGTCTTCCTTGGCAATAACAACGGTAATTCAGTAGAACCTAACATAACACATATCAGTATTCAGCTGATACTGTTCTGTTTCT